ATGTTTGATGTTGTGTTCGTTTATCAAAATAATAGTAGTAGGTTCACTCCTGAGACCCTGAATTCTTATGTAGCCCAGACTAGCCTTCAACTTGGGATCCTTCAATCTTAATTTTCCATATCCTGAGAATACAGGCAAGTGCCATCAAACATCCGGCTAGTTAATTCATTTCAACTGCCAATTAAAGAATTCAGTTAATTAAAGAAATTAAAGAAAATTTTAAAGTATCATAATCATATCACCGCATAACAAGCACTTTTGTCTTCTTGTAATTTCTTCTACATTTTCCACATTTTTCACAAATTCACATTGCATGTAATGTTTGCAAATTTTAACCAAACGTACTACGAACAGCTTTTCAGTATTTTAAATATTTCTCTACAAACCATTTTCTTAAACAATTTTCTGTTAGTGAACATTTAAGAAATCTCTAGTTACTTGTCATCACCCACAATATTCTAGCTATCTTGTTCTTACTCTTTTTAATGTTTACCATCAAATATGCAGCTAAAAACTGCAATGACTCAAGTTCCCACCTCCAGATATCCTTCCGTCTTACTAACAATGAATGGTATTGTGTCTGAAGGCCGGAGGTTATGCCTTATGTTTCTCTAGCCATTATGACAGAGTTGGGAACATAGTAGACACTAAAATATTTTTGATAAGTGGATTAACAAATGAACTACTCATTCAGTTGACCCATTAGTCTTATATCTGATAACTTTGATCTGGATATAAAAGTTACACAGAACACCATCTGTTATTGCCGCATAAATTAAGATGTTAACTGATATCAAATATAACGTTACAGAAGTGACTTCTGAAATAAAAGCTGTCCCCAAAGTCCTAAGAAGTCTCTTGGAATGAACAACTTGCCTTGTTTTTCTAAGAATAGAAACTACTAAATGTCCCCGAGAATAAGGACCATGCATTTAGGATAAGAAACCCACCCCCATCTATTAGCAATTAGGTCTGAGAACTGGAATCATGACTGAGAAATCAAATCTAGCATTAAACTATCATAGTGTTAGGAATTTTCTGAAAAGTTACTGATCTGGAAACCCATTTTAAAGGAAATATTCAATAACTGTTTTATTATATCTTTGTCCCCAGGATTGGTGGAAAGTCCTAGAATGAGTTTGTGTTCCGGAGAGCAACATGGAGTAAAAAGAGAAAGTGGCCAGGGTCAAGGCAGGAGTTCGGGCTGAGCGCCTGCCAGTAACAGGTGTTTAACTTCAGCTGTGTCAGTTCATGGATTAAGGCAACAGTTTTATAACTGTAAAATAAAAATCTGGGTACGCTCAGCATTTCCAAAAAGGCATTCTGTGGAACACACGTCTAATGATCTGTTCCACTAGAGACAGGGTTTCATAGCTGAACAGCCCCGAGACATGCTGTATCTCTGAAAAGTTCTCTGGTTGAGAAATCCATTGAACTTTGTTATCATTTTTTACTGGTCTGGTTAAAGGAACTCAAAGCTACTTTAGAAATCATGTCTATTGTATTAGGGTTCTCTCTCTCATTCGTATATATATGACGTCTTACAGGCTGTGGTCCAGCTCACCCAACAACGGCTGCCTCTTATGAACAGAAGTTCCAAGAATCCAGTAGCTGTTCGTTCAATCCATGTCTCCTCTGGCTTCAGCATATGCTGGAATCCTGAAGAAGCAGGCTTTAAAGCAGTGAAGAAACAAGGTATGGTCCTCATAAAAAGGTGGGTTTCCCACCTCAAAAAAATCTGGATTTAAGGTTTACCTCCCCACCTCAAATATCCGGATTAAAAGTGAGTTTTCCCACTTCAGATAATTTAGTTAAGAGTCCCGCAGAGATGTGCCCAGTCATTGGGATCACAGTTCCAGTTGTAGTTGAGTTGGCAACCAAGAATAGCCATCATGGCTACTAAAATTCTGTGAAGTCACTGTCCTTAATAACACACTTTGTGCTGGGTGGTGGTGGCAGAAGTCTTCGATCACAGCACATGGGAGGCAGAGGAAAACAGCTCTCTATAAATTTGAGGCCAGCCTGGTCTACAAAGCAAGTTCTGGGACAGCCAGGGCTACACAGAGAAACCCTGTCTCAAAAAACAAAAACAAACAAACAAAAAAAACACAAAAAAACAAAAAAAAAAAACCAAACCAAAAATAGAAAGAAAAACAAATAAACAAAAAGAACATACTTTGCAGAGTAATGGACTAGGAATCTTTTAAGGTGCCTAGATTTATGGCACACGTGTGTGTGTGTCGGTGTGTGCGGGCACTCCACAAGATCTCTTATTGTACCGGGGCATATCCATATCTCAAGATTATCTGGCCGGTAAATCTCATGGGCATTCCCATTTCCACCTCCCAAGTGCTGGGATTAGGGATACAAACCACTTAGCACATTTTTTTTTTTTTTACACAGGTGCCGAGCATTTGAATTAAGATCGTCATCTTTGTTCAGTAAGCTCTTTACAGATTGAGCTCCCAGCCCCCTATGGTAATATTCTCCTGTTTAAGTATTCAGTCAGGCGCCTCCTGCTGCATTCTTATTTCATGGAGGGTTAGCTTCATACAGTCAGTCTCCCTAGACTCCAAGTCGCTTGCCTTTTGTAGAGGTTTCTGTCTCCTTCTGTCCTCTAGTCTATTTTACGTGAAAGTCTGCAGATTTGTGATATATCCTTCACCCAATCACCTTTCTGCCTCTGCCCAGCTGATATAAGTTATCTCACCCCCCCCCTTTTGCTTTCATTCTTCCATCAGTTTTCTCTGGTCTCTGAAACACATCAAAGAGTTTATGCTTTATTAAGTTCAAACTCCTTAGTGTTGCACACGAGCTCCTGACATGAGGTCCCTACTACCATCTCCCACCTAGCCGAACCTTCTCTGCATCTGTCTGGAAGGAATGGAATTACATGAAAGTCAGGCCTCTTGGGCATGGTACTATTAAAGTTCATACACCTGCACAGAGTCATTGCCTTTGTCTGGAATGACTGCTCCTCCTTATCCGGTTAGATCCTCCCTGTCATTAGACATGCTTTCCCGTTCTGGCTATAGACAGTTTTCTAGTAGTGGCTTCCCTACCTCCTTTATCCAGCAGTCTGTGACTTGTGGGGCCAGGAGACGTCGATTTTTTCTTATCTTTGTATTCTTACACCTTAGCTGGAGCTCAATAAACTCTAATCAAGTGAATGGATTATTTCATGGCTTAATGAAACTGATGAGAACCTGCTCATTTTGCTCAATGGTGAAAAGTGACTGTTTTCTAAGATTGGTCTTAACCAACCAAAAAAAAAAAAAAAAAAAAAAAACCTCAGGGAAGAGCTGGCTAAGAGCCATCGAAAGAGCATTCAGAAGCCTGTTTGATAAAGGTTTCCATAAAAATGAGACTCTTAAAAAAATGAGACTCTTTCTTGTAATGTTCACATTCAGCCTAGCAATAACATTTGATAACAATAGGTTGTTTATTAGGTTTGGGCATCTAGGTGTTTTTAATATCAACAAACCTGGTCACAAGGAAAACAAAGAGGCTACAGACACATTTGTATAGATTGTTTTGTTTTGTTTGAGACAGGGTTTCACTGTGTAGCCCTTGCTGTCCTGGAACTCACTCTGTAGACCAGGTTGGTGTATGAATTATTGGTTAAAATTTCAAAGCATTTGTTATTTATACAAAGGTGCACAGTAGATACTGCAAGGTCTAAGGATGAAGAAAAAGTATGATCCTCATCAAGGGAAAAACATAGCACACTGAAATAATTACAGGAAACGAATGGCGAATTCAGCAAGGAAGAGAGACCATAGGAATTGGTCACCTCCACTATTTTTAGTTTATTACATGGTGTTATCTAATTACTGAAGTACCTACTAAACTTAAAATACAAATTGCATGTATTTCCAAAGCACGGGCATCTCAAGTGTGAAACTTGTACGTTTCTAAACACCAGTTTGGACAGATTGTGCATCAGGTCGTTAAAGATTGTAAAATAGGACTGAAACCACTTGGAAATCCTTAAGAATATCAGGAAGGAGAATGCACTTAATCAAACTAGGATTTGGTCCTAGAACAGGGAAATGAACACTCATTCTTAGAAAGAGAGCCAGAATTTCAGAAAGACATGGTCTCTCTTTTTTTGGGGGCGGGAAGGAGGGTTGTGAAAATTCAAAATACACAAACTGTTAAAGAGCTGACAAGAAGACACGAAAAAAGAATGCTAAACGTTCAACGCAGCCAATTCCAGATCACAGATCAATTTCTTTAGTGTTAACAAAGTGTATGGCCAAGCAGAGGTAATTTAATACTATTTTTTCTTTCCTTTGATCAACTTTACATGAAGGTCGTAATAAGGACGTTAATCGAAAGAAATCTAAGTCTGCCTAAGTCGAATCTGCATAAAAAAATAAGCAGTATCCTCACGGAGCTTGGGAGCAAATTCACCATTTAAGTGTAATACTCGGACATATAAGATGCCAACACCCGCACTACGAACAGTTTCAGTAAGGGAGGACAGAAACTGGGGACCCAGATGAGCAGGCTTTGACGTGAAAACGTAGAGATGAGCGGGGTGTCTGATTCCTGAAACGGCATTTTGGGGCTAAAACGGGATTTACTAAAGCAGCGGGTGCCTGGGTTAGCCCGGGGCTGTTTTCTGGAGACTGAGTACGTGGAAGGCAGGCAAAGGTGCACAGCCTCAGACGGGAGCCACCGGGAAGCGCAACGGAGGGCGGGACCGCAGCGGGATTTTCCTCTCGGCTCATTCATTCTCTGATTCACCGGTTCCTGGAGGAGGCGGCTCTCGGGGACGCGCGCAGGAGGCCGGCCGCGGCTGGGTGCGGCCCGGCGCCTGCGGGTCGGACGGTGTGCGCTGGGGCGGGAGAGGGGGGGAGGGAGGGAGGACGGGAGGGAGGGAGGACGGGGGCGGGGAGGGGGGGGCTGCTGACCAGGCGGCGGGAAGCGCGCGCCGCCGCCCGCGCCGGAAGTGAGCCGGCGGCCGCGGCGGGGAGCGCGCGCGCGCGCGGCCGGGCGCCTGTCGGTCCGCCCTTGGGCCGCACGACCCTCAGCCCCGCCCTGCGTGCCGGGGCGGGACGCGGGGGCTCTGCGGTCCGCGCCGCCGGGCGCTCGGTCGCCCCGCCCCGTCCCTGCCAACGCCCGCTCCGCGGGTCGGTCAGTCAGTCCCGGAGCGCGCGCCGCGGGAGCTGAGGGAGAGGAGCGGCGCGCCTGGAGAGGCGGCGGCGCGGCGCGGGGGACGCGAGCAGCTGCTGCCTCGCGCGGGGCTCCCGGAGGGCCGAGGGGCCGCCACGGTGAGTGCTCCACCGCCTGGCCCCCGAGGTCGGGGAAAGGAAGGACCCAGGTCCCCGGGAGGCGCTGCCGCCTCCATTTTCCTGGCTCCCGGCGTGGCCCTCCGGGCGAGAGCGAGCGGCTGCAACCCGGGGCGGGGTCGCTGCCGAGCTCTCGGCGTTGGGGCTGCGCCCAGCCAGGCGGCCTGCGGTGGGTAGGGGTCGGCGGGGCCTGGGCTGCCCCCCACTCGGGGCGGCATCGTGCAGACAATGGGCGAGTGGGCGCCTGGGTAGGTGCGGCGGGGCTTCTACTCCGCGCTGGGCTCCGGTGGCCGGGGACTGCTCGCGGGTGGGAAGGGACTGACCCCCCGGTAGCCGCAGACACCGCTCGATGCGGGTTTGTTCTAGCTTTTATGCCCTGCCCGCCTTCATAAATTAGTTCAATGCAGAGACGTCGAAAGGCGGGGTGCTTTCGGTGTCTTCTAATTAAGCAAAGTAATTGCTCCAGTGCTTTTTAGCCTCATCTCATCTTTCCGCGTACATTCCCGCCGGAAATCCAAACTGCAGTTTAGTGGAGGACTACAGAAAGGGAGGAGGCTGCCTTATAATAGTGTCGAAAGGATGCCTTCGTTTTAAGATGCTGATACCCTTTTCCTATTCAGACATTGTCTTAGAATGGCCCCACTGTGTGAACCGGAGACTGCTTGATCCTTATGTAGACATAAAGATGTGCCTTAGTATGAAATAAGAGCTTTGGAAAATGATACAAGAGTTGCACGTTTCCTGTGTGTTGCATTTCATACATTCTGTGGGAAGAGCAGTTCTGGGTGGATACTGCCTGCAGCATTTCTCATGGAGAAGTGGAGAGCCGCCCAAGTGGGTAAAGTCCTCCGTGGACGTAGCGGGCTAGCGTGATTCGATTATTAAAGGGTGACTTGGTGTTGGTTAGAATACTGAAGTCAGCAAACAGTGTGGAAACCTACTCAGGTACAGTGGGAGACACAACTCGGAACACCCCCACAACAGTGAGTGGCAGAAAAGGCGCATTGAAGCAGAGTAAACTAACGGTCCATATAGAATAATCGGCTAGCAATGTGAGGGTGGATAAGCAAGCCATTAACTCCGCAGTAGTTCTCTACAGGTAAACAGCCCTACACCACCTGTTTACCTTTTAGCCTGTTATCAAGAAGGTTGAACGAGATAACGCAAAATTGGTAGCCCCTTACCTATCTGTGAGAGGCTCAGTACATGCTAATTCCTTTTCCTACTGCTGGGGATGGGGTGTCAGCTGTCGATCTTGTGAGGGGGTGGGTCAGAAGTGAATATTGGTAATAGTGCATTATAGAGGCATAGCATAAGACAGTGAAGAAAAGGTGAATTCTACATTGAGGTCAGTGGTGGGGTGAAACTGGAAGCTGCCAATGTATGGGTGGAGTCTTTTAAAAGGTTGGATATTTTCTTTAAAAATAATATTTTATTAGCACATTAATTTTACATAATATGAGTTTCATCTTTTCATACATATACATCATGTATTTCGATTATTTCAACAGGACTGGTGGGATTTCAACAGTGTAGACTTGGAAAGGAAGACATTCCACGTGTAGGTGGTGATTATCTTTTTAGAACTGGATTCAGGAGCCAGACATGGTGGATCATGCCTGTAGTCTCTGCACACAGGAGGCTGAGGCAAGAGGATTGCAATGCAGTCCAGGTCAACATGAGTTACAAAATGAGACCCTGTCTGAAAAACCAACAAACCCAGCCATCACCACCCCCCACACACATGAAAAAAAAAAAATCCAAATTCTCTAAGAAGAACGTTGGAGAAGTAGCAAAATAAGGACACCCTTTAAAAACCTTTCTTGCATTTGATTTTTTTTTTCCACCAGGTGTTTTGTGGTGTTTGGATTGCTACTCACTTCTGTTTGATTTTAGTGAGGAGCTATGTGTGGTCATTTCTTTGTGATGAGTATTAGCTCTCTGTAGTATTCCACACAGGCAGACTCTTCAGGTCTCACTGAGATTATTCAGTTAGTTGGCCGACAGTAGTGGAGTGGCAGGCATCTTTTGAGAATGTTTACACAACTTTTAACACTTTTCTGGCCAGATGTTTTTAACCATTATCTTTGAGGATAATTGTGTTGTTTTTTGTTTCGGTTTTACTGGGTTTTGGCTCTGGACTAGAAAGAAACGAGGGCAGCAGGTCTGGGATGCACATTTGATTGGCTTTGGAAGTTGTGAATGTCTACATTGGTATTATCCCCAACTATTTCTTTAAGAAAAGTAATATTAATGGAGTAAGATATGTAACCTCAGGCTAACTATTGCCTTCTTAATTTCTTTACCTGTAAAATGAGGAGCTTGGAGTAGATTACTGGTTTCTGTGTTATTTTTTTTACTGATCTTAAGATTTTGTTTTGAGACAGTTTTGGAGCCTGTCTTGGGACTCTAGACCAAGGTGGCTTTGAACTCACAGAGATCCACCTGTCTCTGCCTCCCAAGTGCTGGGATTAAAGGCGTGTGCCACCACCATCCAGTTTTTTGAGGAGCTAAGATTGGTAGCATGAGCCTTGAAGGGTCCAGGTAGGAGGGTGCTGAGTTTAAGGACTGCCTACCTACATCATGAGACTGCCTCAAAACAAAAAGAATAATTAAAATTTTATTTTAATGAAGAGCTTTTAAGGGTCTTTAGACACTTGACCTAAAGTTCATTAGACAGTTTGGAGATACAGCGCAAGTCAAGAGCAGTTACCATGGTAGGGCCCTGGATTTGATACCTACCACCACCACAAAGCCCATAGTCTAGTTTGTAATGTTTGAAATCAGGAGTAACCATTGTAATCAGAGCACTCGCTAAGGCAGGAGGAATAAGGCTAGACTAAGCTATATACCGAAGCCCTGTCTCAAAAGATGTTTTAAAATTATAATAAAGTTACTATATAATATGTACTATTTTCAACACTTTATAGTATTGAATTATTTATTCCTCACCATACCTCTATGAAGGAGGTCTGTTATTTGAGAAAACAAGCAGAGGTAGTAAGTTTATTTCCCAAAGACCACACAGCTATGAAGTAAACATAGAGATTTACAACTAGGTAGCCTAATTCTTGTATTTTTACTACCTTCCTGTGCTGCCATGTGGTAAAACTAGAACATTTTTTCTTTTTCTCGTGTGTTAAAATCTTTATACAACTTTTGCCATTTTAAGCATTAAATAGTTAACTTTTCAGTGCTGTTAAATCTGTTCATGTTGAGGAGCTTGTGCCTTTAATCCCAGCACTTGGGAGGCAGAAGCAGGTGGGTCTCTGAGTTCAAGGCCATCCTGGTCTACAAAGCTAGTTAGAGGATAGCCAGGGTTACACAGAGAATCCCTGTCTCCCAGAGGAAAGAAGTTCCATGTTATTGTGTAACTGTTACATTGTCCATTTCCAGGGCATTTTCACAATCCCAAATTGAAATTCTACCTGTTAAACAGTAACTTCACATCTATTACTGCAGCTTCTAGTAGCAACTTTCTTACTTTGTCTCTCTATGCCTTTGACTCCTGGGGGGTACTCTCCGAAAGTGTAGTCATTATTTTATTGTTGTTGGGCTTTTCTTTTTACCCAGAGTCTTAAATCGGAGCCTAGGCTGTACTAGAATTCACTGTATAGTTCATGCTGACTTAAGCTCATCACTGTAGCCTGTTTGTTTGTTTGTTTGCTTATTTCTTTATTTAAGCACATTAGAGATCCGAATGACCTACAGACTCAAGCTTCCCTTACACTATCTGTGTGTTTATTTAGGAGTTTTAAATGAGCAATTAATAGGAAACTTAACAGACTGGAGACTTTTTAAACTTCGGTCCTGCATACTGTTTGTTCATATAAAATTGTCTCAACAACATATTACTGTACACTCTGTTCAATTAAATGGACAAAGTCAAACATTTCTATGGGGGTGTACTCATCCTGTTTAAGTCATTGCTTGTTAAAAACAATGAACTTTTAACAATAAGTCCTGATAACATATCATAAATGTTTTTGCAGTTCATTGTGCTATTTTGTCTTGTCTCTTAAACATTGCTGTAGTTCTATGAAAAGATTACCTTAATCAAGGCAACTCATACAGAAGTGCTGAGTGCTGAAATTAGGGGCAGGTGCCTGGCTTAAAATTTTATTTTTCTTTTTCTTTACATCTTTTTATGTGTATGAGTGTTTTATCTGCATATATGTATGTGTAACCATGTGTATCCACTGAGGTCAGAAGAGGCCATTTGGATCCCCTGGAACTGGAGTTACGGGGGGTTGTGATTCTGGCAACTGAACCTGGGTTCTCTGCAAGAACAAGTGTTCTTTCTTCTTGGTAGTTGTAAATGCTTGATATGGTGCTAAAACTGAACTCAGATCCTCCGCAAGAATAGTACACTGAGCCTTTTCTCCAGTCCCAGCTTTTCATATTCTTATTAGTCATTTGGGATTTGCTTATTTTTAAAATTTAATCTTTTTGTTTTTTTAGGCTTGTAACAGTTCTTTATATTCTAAATACAAGCTATTTAGCCAGATATATTTTCTCTTAATTTGGTGCTGCCTGCGTTTATTTATTCATTTTTGTGTGTGACAGGGCTTGTCATGTATCCTAGGATGACTTCAAATTCATTAAAACACTTTGACCTCAGCCTCTTGAGTGCCAAGATTAACAATGTGTTTCACAATACTCACCTTGTGCTGTCTAACTTTTTAAATGTTTTAATAATGGACTTCATTAAGAGTGTTAATTTTTCTTATGATTATAGGTATTTTCTGTGTCCTAATAACTTCCCATTTCAAAGTTGAAAAGACATATTCCTGTATTTTCTCTTGTATGAGTTTTATAAGTTTAGTTCTTGCATTTCTTGCTATGCTCCATTTTAAATTAAATTTTTATTGTGGTATGATGTAGAAATTGAAGCTCTCCTCTCTCCTTTATGTCTAGTTGTTTCAGTATTTTTCAAAAACCACTTTCCTCTTTATCTGCCTTGAGTTCCTTGTTTCAAAAAA